CCCCAAACCCTTCCCTTCCTCCCCCCCCCCCCCCCCCGCATCCCCCTTCTGTTCTGAAATGTGATTTGTCCTTTTCATGTGTGTTCATTTTTTTTAATTGTATCCTTTGGTATATATGGTTGTGACTATTTTCTTCCACTATTTGATCTGAGGAAGTGGGTCTGGCCCACGAAAGCTCATCATCTAATAAACCATCTTGTTAGTCTTTAAAGTGCTACATAGTCCTGTATTTTGTCTCAGAAGTGAGTTCTTCTTTTCAGGTCTTCCCCTTCCCCTGGTCTTCTTCCAGCCTTTTCTTCCTTCTGTTACTTCTAATCTTCTTCTTCTTGGACCCCAGTTTATATAATGAAACCTGAGTCTTGCTTAGCTAAAACCAATTAGTTTAGTATAATTTGACTAACCAATCATAACAAAATTACCTAAACAATCACACCCCACCACCTTCCTTGATTTACACCTAGCAAAATGAATTATACAGCAGACAGAAACAGTTACAAACCAGACAGAGATCGCACAGTAATGACAATGATCGTAGAATGAGGATTCCACAACATTCTCTGCTGAGAAGCAGTTTCTTGCCAGACAGAACGGTGTGACTTACGTTTTCTTTACCCCTCTTGAGATCTGTTTCTTTATCTGGTGACAGTGGGGGAGCGATCAGGGCAAAGTCACAGCCTGGTGTGACGCTTTTTAATACAATTGAGATGGAACTGTGAGGATGTGACTCCAGGCCTTGCAGCAATGGCTGCTGCTCTTCAGTCTAGCTGCAGAAGGCGGCTTTGGTTCAGGCCTAGCACAGGCCTTCCAACATGCCTCCAGAAAAGCCAGATTGTTACAGTTCTGGTCAACATATTCATACACAATCTGAAAAAGGGGGAAACAATGAGGAGGGAAAGTTTGCAAATGATACAAAATTACTCAAAAGAGTTAAACCCAAATAAAAAATGGGATCTAACTTAGCTGTTGCCACTCGAGAGAGAGAGATCTTGGAGTCACTATGCATAGCTTTCTGAAACAGCTGCTCGACATGCAGTGACAGTAAAAAATGCCACGATAGAAAATATCATGCCAGTCCTTAAATGCTGCATGCATTTCTGGGCGCTCCATCTCCAAAGAGATATATTAGAATGGAAAAAGTGCAGAGAAGGGCAACCAAATGATTAGGGTAGGGAACAGCTTCTGAACAATTAAACTGATGGAGAAGGGTTAGCTTAGAAAAGAGATGACCAAGGGAGGATACACTAAAGGTATGACTAGTATGGAGAAAGCAAGTGAAGAAGTGTAATGTCCCCTGCTTCAAATAACACAAGATCACCCAGTGAAATTAACAGGCGGCAGGATTAAAACAAACAAAAGGAAATATTTCTTCATTCCACACACAGCCAACCTGTGGAACTCCTTGCCAAGGGATGTTGTGAAGGCCAAAAGTATAACTGGGACCAAAAAAAGTTAGGCAAGTCCCATGGACGATAGGTTCTTCGGTGGCTATTAGCATGCTTTGGGTGTCCCCAGTGCAACCCATGCTCTGGGTATCCCGTGACCTCTGCCTGTCAGAACCTGGAACTGCATCACTCAATAATTTCACTCCCTCTGAAGCATGTGGCACCAGCTGTTGTTGGAAGACTGGATGCTGGGCTAGGTGGATCGTCAGTCTGACCCAGTCTGGCTGTTCCCATGTCCTTAAGACCTTCTACAGGCCACTTTCAAGCAGGGCGGATCCCACTCTGAGAATAGGCAGGCCCTTTTCTCGGGGCTTCAGGTTTTATTTTTACCACACAGTGTTAATGGAGCACATCAGCCATCCCTGTCCCCTAACCTGGGATCTCCTGCAGGGACCTGCCCATTCCTTACAGAATGCCAACCTGGGGTCAGACCCGGCACCAGCACCTACCCAGGAGCCAGCCTGCTTCCCTGGGACCCAGGGCCTTCCTAGAAGTTCTCTTCAGCTGAGCCTCTTGCTGGCTTTGATAATTACTGGGTCCCTGGTGGAACGGTCTTGAGTGGGATAAAGTCGATCCATCACACGTGAGCCCAGCCACCTTCTGAGACCTTCCTAGAGACAGTACAGGCTGTGAACCTGAGCTCATACACGTGGGCCTGCTATTGGCTTCTTAGGATAGCAGTCAGGCATGCACCCTCACCGGTATTCAGGTGCCCAACTCTCCTGGGTTCCAAAGGGAGTTAGGCACCTACATGCCACAAGGGGCTGGGCCTTACAGAGGTGTCAGTGGTGCTCACAGTCTGTCCTTTCCTCCCTCCCTGTTTCAGAGTTCCTCACGGTGGGGCTGTCGTCGGTCAAGCGGAAGCGAGGCAACTACCTCCTGTCCACACTGGGATCCATCTTCAAGCAGTCAACCCGCAAGGAGCTGAAGGAGATGGTGGTGGTGGTGCACCTGGCAGACCCGGACTTGGAGTGGAACGCCAGGATGGTGGGGGACATTACTGCGCAATTCGCTCCGCAGCTCCTTCGGGGCCAGCTGCTGGTTATCCATGCCCCTGAGGAGTTCTACCCGCCCCTGGAAGGCCTGAAGAGGAACTACAACGATGCTGAGGACCGAGTGCACTTCAGATCCAAGCAGAACGTGGACTACGCTTATCTCCTCAGCTTCGCGGCCAACCTCTCCTCCTACTACCTCATGATCGAGGACGACGTGCAGTGCTCCAAGTCCTTCTTCACCTCCATCCGGAAGGCTGTGGCGTCCCGGGAGGGCTCCTACTGGGTCATGCTGGAGTTCTCCAAGCTGGGCTACATTGGCAAGCTCTACCACTCCAGTGACCTGCCTCAGCTGGCCCAGTTCCTGCTGCTGTTCTACCAGGAAATGCCTTGTGACTGGCTGCTGGGGCACTTCCGCCTGCTGCTCACCCAGAAGGAGGTGATTCGCTTCAAGCCGTCCCTCTTCCAGCACATCGGCCTCTACTCCTCCTTCCAGGGGATGGCCAACCACCTGAAAGACGATGACTTTGAGGTAGACTCCTTGGACCTGCCTGACAACCCTCCGGCGTCGATGTTCACAGACATGGACGTCTTTGAGGACTACCTGCCCAGCAAGGCCTACAGCACGATGCCGGAGTACTTCTGGGGCAAAGCCCCGTCTGCCGGGAGACACTTCACCATCGTGTTCCACCAGCCGGCCCGTATTGCGCGGCTCCAGGTCCACACTGGCTCTGAGGCACGTCGCACCGACTACCTCCGCGCGGGGGCTGTCGAGCTGGGCAGCCGGCGTCTGGAGAGCGGCAAGGGCTGCTCTGCGTACACCCGCATCGGCACCTTTGAGAAGGGACAGTTTGAGCAGAGGGGCTTGGAGAGGAGCGTGGCCTCCGCTCCGGAGTGCGTGCGGATCCTCGTGACGGAGAGTCAGAGCGAATGGCTGATCATCCGCAGCATCAGCATCTGGACCCAACCAAGCAACTAAGCGAGGCACGGGGACAGAGGCGTGGCTGGTGACTCGCACGGCAGGGAGCTCACCTCTTCTCAGGGGCAGCCACGCCCGCGTAGAACCTGTGCGCACAGTGCGGAGGGCAGCTCCGTCCGTGGCAGGCCCTCCCCCCTTTCTCTCCAGGGGCCCGGACACCAGGCAGCTGGTGCTGGTCGAGTGTGAGCGGTTAGGGGGTGCCTGGGGCAATGGCAGTGAGGCCTAGCGGGGAAGGCAGGTGGGGCCGTGGCTGAGCAGTGGCGGGTTGGTGCCTTAGGGCAGGTAATGGGAGCTCATGCAGCACATTGATATTCTGGGCTTTCAGGGGGCTCCATGCCCCTGTGCACTCACAGCCAGTGCATGCGAGAGCCTGTCCCCCGCCCCCGGCCCTAGAGAGCTGCTCCCTGTGGGGGCCCCGTGTCAGAGCCAGGCCTGGGTAGGGCGTGCCACTGGGCAAGACGTGGCCCGGTGCTCCCCGCAGATAGCTGGGACTATGGAGAAGCCAGGGGACAGCAGCGGCAGGGGCGGGGGCTCTCCCTGCGGGGGGGGCGTGGCCATGGGCAGACCCAGGGGCCCAGCACAGGAGGCTGCTACAGCGCAGAAGCAGCTATCTTGGAAATCTTGACTCAGGCGCCTACCAGTGGAGCTGCGCTACCCACGACGGTTTAGAGCTGAGCCACCGTCTCCCCCAACCCAATAGCCAAACTCAGTATCCTGAATGCCGGGGGGGGGGGGCCACTCATGGGGGGAGGGGCAGGTTCTTGTCACTCACATTAGCCATTGTGCTCGGTGCTGTACAAACACAGAGCAGCAGACAGGAGACAAGCCCCCTTCTTGCTCCTGACTTCTTCAGAAACCAAATCAAGGCCCTCGAAGCAGGGCCCTGGGTGACTCCTGGCACCATGGAGCCAAATCTAGGGGCCAGAACTCCTCTCTTCTGCAGCAGTGTTAAGCTACTGTATCCAGCGATAGAGGGAAGCTGTAGCCTTCACAAGATTGGCTAAATGCCACGAGATGTCTGCAAAATAATAAATATTTGTCACTTGTCTTCTGGCTGAGTTTTTAGGGTCACACAGGGGTCACATTTTAAAACTTTTCTCCCCCACCGGAAGGGTAAAAACCCTCTTAATGTCTGTTGTAAAAGTGAGCAGTGTCTCCTGTGTTCACGTGACTCCGGGAGCTGGAGCTTTCTGCAGGATATCAGCTGTCTCCACACAATAACACCGGGGGAACTGGCAACATAGGGTGTGTCTAGACGACATGGCTCCGTCAACGGAGCCCTGTAGTCTA